ATATAAATTTCAGGTTGACATAGCCGGCGTTCTTTACCTCGCATCAAATTCCGCAACATTTATTTAGAATGTGATAAGTTTCGCAGCAGCAGCAGCAACGGAGAGTAGAGCAGAGAAGAGCATCGCAAAGAAAAAGTACGACGTTTATGATGCGTGTGTTCGAGAGTTGCTTAATAGCTCCGTTTGGTTTTTCTGTCGAAGTGATGGCTTATGCTGGCCTCCCTGGCGACCGTGTACAATGTGGCAACATTTCTTTTGTTGCAGACAATTCGCGCGAAGCACAGACCTCAACACACCCACAAAAATCTCCCAAGCACATATCTACGTGCACAAATATCCAATGTGTTTTTCCATTTTGGCGGATATAAATAAAACTAATGGTTTGGTTCTTCGTTGGTTGTGGCACTGGCGCGAACGAGAGTAAGAGAGAGAGAGAGAATGTGACTGCTGTATTCAAATTTCGTTGCCATTCAAATGGACTTTTCATGAACCATTTAATAAATATATTTTGTCATTTTGAGAAACCACGGCACATTACGCACCCGCCAAACGGCCACATAATATTTAATTATCTCCATTTCTTTGGATAATTAATTGGAATCTATATTTCCACCACGGATGATGATGATGATGATGACGATGATGATGATAACATACACATTGCGTGCATTGTTTACAGTCTTTGCCAGCAGCAAAAACGAGCCATGAGAAGGAATACGATGTCATTGTCCCATGCATTAGGATTACTACGACTTGGTTGGCATGTTTCAAATGGCAATTCATTTCCAGTAATTTCTCGTAAATGACAAGTGGCAAAACCCTACACTAAAACTGCTTCACATATCTCTTGACTCGATCTGGTGTGCTGCATTTCTCATGTGCACTGTGTTAAGTCGGTCATCAAGATAACAAGAAATCGGAGAGAGAAAACGAGAATAAAAAAAACCAACACAAACACATTTGGTGTGTTTAGCGCTGTGCAAAGCTGTCTGTGTACCAAAGTTTGAGCAGCCCCAAAAATGTTGACGATAGCCGAATTTGAACTATAGTAGATGCGTTGTCGGTGTTGAGTTGTGCTGAAAAAACAAACTTAGCCCTGAAGGTGCGTGTCTCTCCAAATCAGATGCGCTTCGATAAAGTCTAAAAAGTATCTCTCTCGGCACATTCTATCCATTTGTTCCGAATTTTATGGCTTTTTGCATTTTGTTTGTTTCTGACACTTTCCATTTTCTTTATTAATCCATTTGTAAACATCCAGATTAAATCGATGGATTTATCACTCACCATGAATTGCTGCTACTGCTGCTTGCTCTGTTTGGTTGGCTGGTTGCTTACTTTTTCTTTTCTTTTCTGGCTCTTTGAAATAGGTTCGATAGCGCGTCAATTTTTTTTTCCGGACTAGGTTTAAATGTTTGTTAACATCCAGTGCACTTGTTGTTCAATGTGTACAGTGTACACGCTCACACACACCATTTTTATTGGATTAGAGCCGCTGGGCGCAAACACACAACTCACTCAATCAATTGCAATCGATTACCAATTGAGCAAGAAATTAAGCTTGTCCATGAACGCACTGAATCGATGGCGATGCCAAAACCGAACCGATTTCAGCCAAACAAAGACAGACTGTGTAATCGGATCTTGCATGTCTGCAAGATCAATGGAAAAAAAACATGCGGGTAATTAACATTTAACATTGGATGCGTAACACATTCGCCTGAAGCCATTCATTTACCAGACATGGGATCAATTTTCGTCGCTAATTTATTTTTTTTCTTCTTGTTGTTGTTGACTCCTTCTTCGGACGTACGAATGAGATTCCGATTCCAAGCTGTAGCTTTGTATTTAATCCATAGAACATTGACAATTTTGGGTACAGCCACCGTGATTACGGTGTAATTACTACGTCAGAACTGGACCAGTTCATACACACCTACACACACACACACACATAGTTCAAACGATTGAAAATACAAAAAAAAAATGTAATGCAATTCACAACGAAAAAAAAAGTTTCACATTTTCAGCTCACGGGAACCGTAAATCCATAAAAACAAACGAAATTATAATAAAATGCCATCAAATCATATGATTCCTTGTAAAAATTCCATCAATGATAGACTATGTATGTCTCTCTTTGACAGTTTCATTAAATGTTTGCTCTCGGGAAACGGAAAAAGTTACATGAACAACAAAAAATACACACATTTTATTACGTAAAACCCATTATCCTATATATAAACAACTGCAATAACAACAACGACAGCAACGAAGAAAAAAAAATCGTCAATTCCATTTTATTTTATTACCAACATAAACATTGCCGCTTATAAATGCAATCAATTGATGGTTACGGAATAAAATTATTCGTGCGATTGTGTGATGGGATTTCTTGATGGCGGTTTTTTTTCCTATATGTTTTATAAACCCGTCAATTTTCGTTATTTTCAATATAAATGTGGAAAACCACTAGTTTTTTCTTTCGGCTTGTTTATGTTTTTTTTCTTCATTTAACTTTTTTCGGATATGAGGTTACGAAGCTCGTTTGTTATTCATTGCTAAAGTACCCCAATAAGTTATTTGGAATAACAATTTGATTTTATGGAAAATATATCGCGTATATCAAAAAAAAAAGATTGTAAAATGGAAAACGAGGTCGAAAGAAACAAGAATAATGACTCAAAATTTGCACACGAATGGTAACACAGATGCATCACGTGAAAATTGATTGATTCTAAGTATTGATCACAGTTTGATAGCTGCAATGTATTTGTGCAATTCGCATTAATAATGTTTCGAAGTGTGGCATTTCTAAGCGATTGACAGATATGGGAGGGAGGGAGGCAAAGTGCAAAAAGTACTTATTGTGCTCCAAAAAATATGGTTGAAAATTACTTTATATGCAACAATTTTAGGGTTTTAAATTGAGTGAACGCTTTAATGCGAGTAGAGTGTGCAGCAGACGATATTGAAGCCTCTCTCATTCCCAAGAAATCACATAACACAAAAGTGTCTACACCATTTCTGTTCATAAATTCAACGTGATTCATGTTTCATTGTGTTTATCGATAATTTTTTCGCTCACTCAATCGATAGCACCTCTCTCTCTCACACACAAACACCGTCAATATAGCTCTCTTTCTATTGAAAACAGTATAAAGGAACAAGTGGATAAGAAGAAGAAGAAAAAAACTGTTCATCATTCATTTGGCAATACGTTGAATTCACTCGAAATGTTCGTTCATCATTGTAAATGAAGAATGCACGTGTGCGTACCACATGCTTTTCAGCATTCCATTTGATTCATCAATTTTATTGCTTTGGTTTGCCGCCGTTGTCGTGTTGTTTTGTGTGCTGCGATCAATTTTCCTTCACCTTCATTCTTTCCGATTAAAATGTGAAACGATTATTACGTATCTTCTTCACGATTCTCAATCTGCCTTTGCGATATACGATTTTTTTTCTTCTGTTCGTTTCACGTTCTCTTTTACATGCACACACTTTCCCTATCTCTTATATGTAATCGTCGTGCTGCCTGCCATTAGTTGCATAAAATGTGAAATTCATATTTTATACGTCCAACAATGGTTTACAGAGCATTCGGTTGACATTCATACTATAGCCGAATTGACATTGACAGTTTTATGGAGTGCGTCATGAACACAACACAAACACCGCACATTTTTGGAGCCGTGGCGGCACGAGAGCAAGCGACGGCTGCCGAACATACAAATAGGCATAAAACTCAATTGATGGCTGAAAGCATAACCGCATTTCAATTACATTATTTCCAACAGTGCAAAAGGGAGCGCAACGAGACATTGGAAGTGGTGTTGATGCTGTTGCCGCTTTTTTGAATGAATTTCATTTTTCGGTGACAAATGTGATCAGCGTCGCTGTTGCAAAATTAAAAACGAAAAGTTAGTTAAAAGTCGAGGCAATAAAAATGAAAAGAATTACTAAAACAATTTTCATTATAAACACACACACACACATACTCAGAATGTTGTTATTATCATATGTACATATGAACATAGACAGGGTGAGAGGGTGACGATGACACTTCATATCATTGACATGTGTCTATTCAGCGCATATTTTTTTTGGCTTGTATCGTTGAAAGCTTCGTTGCGGGTTTTTAGCACTACATGAAATGTAGAGCTACTAATCTGCTTTTTTTTTTGTCTAGATACTTTTTGAGTGTTGAAACAAATTATGGTGAATTTGAATTTTATGCTCATATTTTTTATTTAATTTAAAACAGTGGCAGTAACGACAAATAGGTGCATAATATCTCAAAGCGCCAATCAAATTTTTATTATCAAATGTTGTTTAAAAATTACATTAATTTTTCGTATAATATTTTCTGTGTCTTGAACAGAATTAAAGTGATTTTAGATTCAATGCTCACATTTTTTTATTTAATAACCAAAGGCAGTATATTTCAAAAAAGAAATATAACCAAGATCTTGTAATTCATTTTGCAAATAAATATATTACTTCAAAGTTACTTTGATGAAATACATTTCATGTAGTGCGCCAAAAAATAGTTTGTTGTGAAACAACAAAATAGATTAAGTAACTAAAAACTCAAGAACGCAGAGCGGAGAGAAGCGAAGCTCTGCGGTCTTGTTTTTATTATGTTTTTGGACTGTAAAAACGTTAACCCAACACTTGAACGATAAATAAATGATCCGAAATTACCGATGACGGCGAAACCAATTTGAATGCGCGGAGAAAAGGGGATGTTGATGTCGCCGCCGCCGCCTAACAAACAGTTTTTATGATTATTGCAAATCAACCGAAATAAAATCCAGTTTTTCCATTCAATAGAGAGATACAACATGCGCTCAAACTTTAATAATTTTATTGTAGCTCCAGCATGTTCTATTTTATAGCCGTAGCATAGGATGTAAAAATATACAAATCCGACCAATTTCTATACATGCTCATCCATAATAATAATTTGAAAATTTTACGATTATTGTTTTTCGTTACAGATAAAAAGTCAGTGTGTTGGCATTTAACATGACGATTTGGAATTCATCAGTGTGAGAAGTTTGCACATTAAGCCCATTTATTTCATCCGGACAGTCCAGTTGAATTTCGTAGCTAGTGCTTGAAAAAACGAAAATAAGCGCCGATAAACGGATATATTTGGACAGTTCAACATTTAAACGAGCATACCCACTCTCCTCGTCCGCGCCTATCCCAAAAATACCAGCGCCAAATCAGCAACCCCAAAACAGACAACCGACACATCCGAGCGTGAATTGATTTTGTTTTCACATCATTGCCACCACAAAACGATTCGTACGAAGCTTTTCTATATGATTCACAAGATCGTCAGTATCAACAATGAGTGCATCTACAGAAAATAGTACGGTTGTTTATTGCGGCCAAGGATTAGATGATTTTCATACGCGGTAAGCATCAACACACATTCACTCTGCCATTTGTTCGCAAAACTATTTACAAGTCCATGTCATAAAAGCCAAATACAACTCATAAACACATTTATGAGTTGTACAAAACTGACGGCCAAATCTGATACATACATATCTCAGAGTTGCATCCCAACCATCCATCCACTAGCAATCAAATCTAAGTTTTTGCATTAAATCATTGGTTGTGTTGTGGGGTCATGGACATACACACAACAACAAGAACTCGATACAAATGTTTGCCCATCGTGTGTTGCCCATAATCATTTGCTTGATTTCCACACGATATTCGAGGTAAAACTTCTTGATGAGTCGATGTTTGTAGACAATAATTTTATCCGTTTAACACTTAATTTCGTCCGTAAAAATTTGGTTTCTGGCATTTTGAGTTTCGAAAGAACGAGGGAGATGGGATGGCAAAGAGCGAAAGGCGATTCTCTCTCTCTCCTTCACACTCTCTGGCTAACGCATTTCCACCGGCAAAAAATGGAATTAGAAACATTTAACAGACTTGCGTGTGAAACTTTCTGATGGAAGTGGTCACACTCAGCAGCGCTACCAGCACCAGCGGCACAACTGTTTTTCTGTGTACTTTATATTTAATATATACATATTTAGTTTGCAATGTAACGAACTGCAAAACATTAGCATCCGCCGTTCAACTAGTAAAATGAACTGAACTGAACTCAACTCCCGAAAACTCGGAAAGATAACAATTAAATTTGATATGGTTGCCGCTTGCAATCCCTACCAACTACCAAATTATTGTCAAGCGTTAATTTAATTTGAGTGTTTTGGTAAACTTTCTCTCATCTCGCATTTCGACAAAATTTGGTTGCTGCCCCCGTTGCTGTTGTTGTTGCTGATGAAAGTGGTGGATGGTGGATGATAGAAGCGGGGAAGGATATGAAGGACAAATGCATAAAAGCCCTTCTATGCGATGAGACCCAAAACAGCTTACCCATACAGACGCACAGCTTGGGATAGAAAGCGAGAGATTTAATTTTATTAAATTCTCTATTCCGTATTTCATCCGTGGTGAATTTTGGATATATGCCGAAAATTCATCAGGCTACGATGGCAACGCCAATTTATGATTGAATGATGAGCATTTCATCAATTTTTTCAACAAGAGTGCTTTATTCATCCAACCGGATTAATTATAAATTGTTATTTTTCTGGTATTGTTTACATGAAGTATTGTGCCGGCGTTAATTCAAATATTTCCGACAAAATTATATATGATTCTGCTATTGAGCCCACTCGACACAAGCACAAGTGTTGTTACATATCTATTTCAAGCGACAACAATTCAAAATTGATAAAATGTTGTTATAAACCGCTCTATCTACCGCCCTCGCAACCTCTATTTCGCATCAACATGCTTTCTCTCGATAGCTGTGTGTGTGTGTGTGTGTGTGTTTGTGGATGGTGCGCGCATGTTTTAAGCAAAAATTGAAATTAATTTATCGAAACGATTGTGAAATCCTTATTAATAACAGTAAATTAGATGGGTCGTCTCCTATTGTGTTTGCACGTTTCTCTTGAATCGCATTCTTTGTCGTTGAAATGCTCTTTTCTTTATCGATCGCATCCACTCACTCACTCATTCATTCTTCTTTTTCTCTCGGACCCTGAACCGAAATCGGATGAAATGAAAGTCAATTAGGCTTGTCAATCGCAGAAACTTTTTTTTAGAAAGTTTCACTCTCGTGCTCTCGTGCTCTCGCTCCCGCAGGGAAAAAGTCATCGGTTGGCGATACAATACGAGTCAATAGGAAAAAATAAGTGGATTGCTCAATTTATCATGTAAAGTCGATGTCGAACATGAATCGATCGAAAACGAATAAACTAACAACAACAACAATGCGTCATCTACGACGGGTCGCATGTACCGTATTTTTCCGTATCGCTGAATGAATAAATTCAATTATTGAATGAATATTTGCCTGGTATACTAAGGAGAAAGAAATAAAAACCAAAATAAATACGTCGAATTTTTTTTGCTGCACACCGCGATCAACCATTCTGTCCACAAAACTGATTGCATTCTTCCCCAAATTGATTTTAATTTATGTGTGTACCTTATTGCTATTGTGTGAGTGTGTGTATTTCGTGTTTTCGGTTTTTCTCACATTTTGTCGTGTTTGTTTATTTTCAGATATCATTCCATCCATGGATACTTGAGCTTATCGGTATGCATTTTGGGTTGTATTGCAAATGTGGCGAATGTAGTGGTTCTGACACGACGTGAAATACGTTCACCAACGAATGCCATACTCACCGGTTTGGCCGTGGCTGATTTTCTCGTGATGATCGATTATATACCATACTCATGGTTTGATTATATTCTACCAAACATGAACTATACGCGTAGAACATTGTTCTCCTATTCAACGGCCTGGTTCATCATGTTCCATTCGATATTTGCGCAAATTTGTCACACAATTTCAATTTGGTTGACGGTGACGTTGGCTGTGTGGCGTTACATAGCCGTTGCGTATCCACATCGAAATCGAATTTGGTGTAATATGCGTACAACACTTATAACCATTGCGAGTGCCTACATCGTTTGTCCATTTGCTGCCATCCCATTGTATTTGGCGACGGCAATTCAAGCCAGTACCCAGATTCTCGATGGTAACGGTCAAATTTACAAGGCGAATAGCAACGGCACCATCAATAATGTCAGCAACAGTGTCAGCAGTGCTAACGGTGTGGTACAATTGGCATCAACGTCACTCTTACCAGCTGGTTACAAAAATATCACCGTCTACAAGGTTCAATACAGCGATATTGCGAAAAACAATCCCTCTCTAATCACATTCAATCTCTGGATGTATAGTATATTAATTAAATTGATACCGTGCTTTGCGTTAACCATTTTATCACTACGATTGATTGGTGCATTGCTCGAGGCAAAACGACGTCGTAAACAACTGCTGAATTCGAATGGTATGCAAACATTGGTTAATGGCAAAGCTGTCGAAGGCCAGCAACCAAATCGACGCAACACCAAATCACTGGAAAAGGAAAAACAAACCGATCGCACCACCCGAATGCTGCTCGCTGTTTTATTACTGTTTCTTATCACAGAATTTCCACAGGGTATATTGGGTTTGCTTAGTGCCGTTTTGGGGCCCAACTTTTACTTGCAATGCTATTTGAAACTAGGTAAGTGTCTTTGTCACTCCTATTTTATTTTTTTCTTCTTCTCGATTTATGTCTCTTCACATTCGATTTACATTCACTCGCTCGCACACACGTACACTACTTTATTTAACGCTTATGTAACACATCATAATGGCATTTTGTGTTGTATGTTTTTATTTTTATCATCAAGCATTCGATAAGTAACGAACCCATATAATATATCAAACATACAATAATAATATTGTTGTTTCTCTATGTTACTATTTTTATATAACATTTTTTTCTGCCTTTGGAGACGCGAACGAATATACATTTTGCACCATGTGTATCGCCTCGTTAAGCCGATTATAGATGTACACATTAATTGCTTCGTACACCCGATGCACGTACATTATTCACACAATGGCATATATTTCGATCCTCGTGCCGATTAAAAATTGGTTACAATGTTGGCAACAAAAAATTACACATTTATTACACCCATTTCCACCTCGATTGCGATAAAATTAACCGGCGTTATGGCTTATGGATTTTAGTGATGATAACATAAACATTGAATGTAGCTTAGAAAATTAACCAACAATGACAGCCCAAGCTAATAATATAAATGAATAAATTCGGAGGGTGTGAAAAAAAAGAACACACAAACATTGTGGGTGGATTGGCGCGTGTATCATTGTGTGTATCACCTGCTTTCGCATGAATGAATGTGCCATTAGCTGTAAGTCCGGTGACAAAATGCCTCTCGGCAACACCAATAACAAACCGAACAAAAAAAAAATTTTTTTTGCTGACTTTTGTCTATCATTCTGATGATGCACGCATCCCTTTACAAAAATAAAAGCTAACAATGAACAACAACAAAAAAATTAAAAAACGAGAAAAACGGCATAAATCATATACAATATATTTTTTCATTCTGGTTTGAAACTCTTCCGTTCGTTGTGAATGTCGTAATGCGAAAATTATTAAACAATCTTATTATTTTCGCAATTAATCATCGCATTTTTCAATGCCAACCAATAATACCAAGTGAATTGGAGCATGAGCCAGCTGATGTGACTAACTTCAAATGCACACGGGGGACAAAATAGGATTTGTCTTTGGAATAAAAGGCTCCGCACGCGGAAGACGAATGAGCTGTAATTAAGCTAATATATCGGCAAATTCAATCAAATTGTATAGGATATGTTGACACTTTTAGTCACAAGAGAGCTTTTCATTACACACATTCAGTCTCGTCTTATCGCCGTTCGTTGCTGTCGCTGTAGCTGACGTGTTATGTAATAAATTTATCGACACACACTATTTTCCTGTCAATCGTTTATCTTCTCTCACGTCTTACCCATATCATTATTTGATTTTGGTGTTTTAAGCTCTGTCTCACTGACACATCCATGTCCACTAAACGCAACCAAAAAAAACAAACAAACTCATGCTAAAGAGTCCGTACACAGACAAAAACACAGACACATCGTTAATAGGTTGATCCATGTGAAAGTTTGAATGGTTGAGAAATTAAACAGTTTGTTGAGTCATCTTTTGATGTACAACAATTTTTTGGTTTCATGCACACATAAAAAGCTGTTTGAACTCTCATTTTAGTGTGTTTACTTTATTTCGATGTGCGGCAACACGAAAACCACAACAACAATCCTCATCTGACGAGTGGATGAAGACAATTTTAGAGAATGAAATGTTATTTTTGCTTCTTCGACTTCTTCGTTTTTTTTTCGATTTCAACTGGATAAACATTTTTGCTTTTTGAGGTCGACGTCTTCCATGACTATTGTGTACGAAGCTGTGAAATGAGAAAATGAATATAAGTATGAGTCAGCTTTCTGAGGTTGGCAATTTGGTCGATGTCGTCTCGAACAAACATACACACACACAGAGAGAGAGAGAGACACAATCATTTGCGGTCAATGCAATTTTCCATTTCGAGGAAACCATTTACATGGGACCGTTGATAAATGATAAAAGCAAAACAAATAGTAAAAAGTGGTCAAATAACAAGATCTCAGCCCCTGTCGTATAAACAAGGCAATGACACCGCTTTTCATATCTAAATATGGCCCATATCATTTGAATAGTCAGTCTAAATAAAGAAAAACTTTCTACAAAATATGCAAATCGGGATAAGTTTTGTTGTATTCAAACGTTTCTTATGCGTCTCACGCAGCTCATTGTGAACCAAACGAAAAACGACGACGACGACGACAACGCCGACATCGACGATTATGATGATGATGATGTCCCAATGTGGAATTTGTATTTTTGTAAAGTGATATAATCACGGTGCCCATTTTCGTGATGAATGCTGAATAACGCATATAATTCATAATATGCAGTAGATCCAAAAACAGATGAATTTAAGGTTGAGGGTGGGGTTTGAAGCCGATTTGAATGTGTCTGTATGCAAATGACGAAGATCAAATTTGCATATGCGTGCACCGGATTTGCGTGTATGTGTGTTGTTTAAATGACTTTTCAAAAGTCACGGTGAAACGTTAATCTTTTCGGTACACATGTAAATGCTACATATTCATATTCGAATGTCACAATGAAGACGAGAAAACACGATGAAAAAAAAATGTACCTGGTACATTGTACCACAAGAGAAAGAGAGACACAACATGCATATAATGAAAGCTTTCAGGTGGCTATGAAAGTGAGCAGAAAGAAAAAAAAACCTGCCGTGAAATTGTAATTAATTCTGATGTTGTTGTTTCAATGTGAAAAAGAAAGCGAGGCGACGACATGGGGCAACATGCACACACACACACATAGTCACACTTAAAATAAATTGCGTACATATTTGTGGATCATGTGTGGCCGTCTCATAGTTGTTGGTGCTGTTGCGCTCCACATCCTTCACCGAAATAGAGAGAGCATTGGTTGGAGTTCTATGCGCGCAGCCCGTTTTCATTTGCATTCCACAATCCACAGTTTATGTGTAATTTGTCAATTTCGGCGACGGCAAACAAATAAAAACTCCTCATAAGGATAATGCTGTTAGCGTTCCCATCCAATGCGACCATTTCTACTTTTTATTTACTTTTCCAAATGAACGTAACAAATAACAGCCGTAGCTGAAGCATACACACACGCAGAGAGAGAGAGAGAGAGAAAGGGAGAAGCGAAGAAAAAAAGACGGGCACAAATAATTTCATCCATTTATTCAAGGCATTATACCTGTCTCGCTCACGGCTTTTTTATTATGCTCGCTCATTTTATTGTAGCCAAACGGCGCTCGCAAAAAAGGTGTGCAATTACAAACAAATGCTGCACTGGCCAAAATAAAACAGCTCACACGCAAATTTCATGTACTAAAAAAATTCACGCGACCATAAAAAACCGATCGTGCATAATTCTTTTATATGATAACATTTTGACTAGTTGTATGTCATGCCGCCACTTCCGTTGCTGCCACCAACCTGGAAACGGCCAAAGTGAAGCACTCCCTATGAAGTGACCGCATGCAATATCAATTGTTTCCAACGTATTTGAAATTCTTCCATTTTAAAGATAAAATCAGCAGCACCGACGAAAAAAAAAAATTTCGTTCATTTGAAAATGTTTGCACATCGTCCGTTTGCACGTGTTTGTAAAAATAATCCGCTTTATTTACCGTTTGCGGCCATATGAATATGTAATTGCAAAAGGATAACAACAACAGTAGCAGCAACAACAAAAAAACCAACCATTGAATTCGCTTGAACATAACCGATGTGTGATTTTCCATTTTAATCTATTTCATTTCGGTATAAGCTTTTTGCCGAGGTTGGCTGTTGTGAATGTAGTAACGTGATGAATCAGATTCTGAAAATTTAAGTGCATTCGATGATGGCATAACGGAATGGCTTTTCGGTGCGATGCTTTACTGGATAGAGAGAAAGAGCTTTGTGTTGCCACCTCAAAAAAAATCCCAGCGGTATTCCGTTCCGTTCCATTCCATTCACGTGAAAAAATTTAATCGGCTTATTGCGTAAATAATGAATGGTTTGCACGGTGATTTCTAGCGAACATACCTGGTTGGCGCTATGGCACCAACATTTTACATTCGCTCAACAAATGATAAAAACTGTGAGCCATTGCCAATCTCATTCTCTCGCTATCTCTTTTTATTACCACTCATAAATCGTACCATATATAAAATGACATACACTTATATTGAGTGGACGATATCCCATTACAAAATTACACTAACTGCTTGCTTATTGAATAAACAACAAAAGAAAACAAATGTAATGTTATATTGGTGTATTATACGTGTATCGAATAATTTCGTTGATTTCATTTAGACAGATATATAGTTAAGTGATTGAAAGTATAGTAAATTTAAATCTTTTCAGTGATTCATTCTAATAATTTATTTTCATGTGCGTCTCTTTCTCTTTTGTCCATTTCTTTTATTCTCTGCATCCTTTTCTATTTCTCTTTTATTTATGTGCTGATGGTGGGGCGTACACATGGCGATCTGCAATTGTCCGTGGCTGAAAAAAAAGGCGATTTAATCGATATTCTGGCATTAATAAACTCGGGCATCAATTTTATATTGTATTGCTCGATGAGTCGGCAATTCCGTAAAACGTTTATTGTATTGTTTCGGCCGAAATGTTTGACTCGTTGGTTGTCATTGGCACAGGATGATGCGGACCATGGTGCTGGCCATACGTATATTGGCCGAGATGAAAACAATGGCCTAACCACACAAGTGACACAAGTTTAGCACAAGACCAACAGACATTTGGTTGTCGTTGACCGGAATGGCGTTATGACCATACATCACACAACAAACCAAATTCAAATGCTGTGCTGCCTGAAATGCTGCTGCCATGCAATCAAATAGAAAAAAAACGCAGAAAGTGAGAGAGAGAGAGAGAGAGAGAGAGAGAGAGAGAGAACGAAAAACCATGAGGAAAGGAGAGGAAGTGAGGTAGAAGTAGGTGCACAAAATGAAATGTTCGTGCGCACATATACGCTCCAAATGGGTGCGGGAGCATGGATGACAAAAATAGCATATAAAGCGGAAAATCAAACAACGAACGAAAGCAGCGACAACGATGACGATGACGACGACGATTATGGCGACCGGGGCAGTGAACCATCCACAACAATGTCGGTGGCTAAATTGGCGTTAATCATACAAAAGATTGAATGATTTGTGGTTGTAATGCATGCATTATGCATAGATAAGACAAAAAGCGGCCAACGCATATATACAACAAATGTCTGTGTGGAACTATATATGCAGGTATTGGAAGGAATGGAAGAAAACAAGAGAGAGAGAGAGAGAGAGAGAGAGAGAGAGAAAGAGAGAGAAAGAGAGAGCAAACAACATTCGGCCACAGTATAGCAACAACCGGCGACATGATCAAATAGAAATAAAACACTCAAATAAATAAAAGCGAAATAAAAAAGAAATATATATGTACGCGCACAATTGATTCTATCCCAATAATTTTTGTAGGTGCTTATGTTATTTTGTTTTCCATCAAATCCATTATTCTTTCCCCCCCCCCCCTCTATTGTAGCTGGAGAGAAACAGAGAGAATGGGAAAAAGCTTGAACATTGATCGATAACACATTCATCCACACTGCGATTCGAAACAATCAAACATAAAATATCACCAATAAGAGAATTTGATGTTCATTTTTATCCCATTCTACCTTGCACCCGCCGCCCAAAATGCAAAAGGATACACTTGAATGTGTCTAACAATTGTACGAGTTCATTTAATCAATTTGCGATAGGATTTTGCCCTCCATCACACTGATGGCTGTTATTATGTGGAATAAACGTATCTTCTTCTTCTTCTTCTTTTTTCTTAATATTATTGTTCTTTTTTCCCATTATTGTTATTATCATTATTTTATTTCGCTCTGGTGGTGGGTCGACGGGAGAGGTACAAAACGGAGCACTATTTTCATTGAAAATGTACATATAATACGATGAGCATAACACAATTAATGGAAAACGGATTCAGCAACGTCTAGCAACGGTGAATTAATACTTTGACGCGCAAAACGGCCGACCGTAGAAACGATAAAGAAAACCGAAGAAAATTCAGTTCGGTTGTGTGTGCGTGTGTGTTGCGCGCACGGCTGTATTGCTAGTAGCATTACCATCACCATCACCATTACCATCATTTCAATTCGAAATTATTTTTGCTCGAATGCGAGAGGTTAATTAAAGAAGGCTTATTAGTTAAACAGGTGTTTTTTGTCTGTATTATTCCGTTGAAAATGTAATTAGAGTAACGATAGCGTTTCACGTCCGTCAATAATAAATTATGTTTTGTTCATTTATCACTTAAATCACATTAATGAAAATGGCCAAGCATCGCGTCCCGGAGCCAAAACTGAATGGAATATAGCAAATATTTCTTCACACAACAGGAAAAAAATAACTTATACGAAAATAAAAACAAAGAGAATTAAAATGGCATTTTGGGCGATGTGAAAAAGCAACGGTTCGTACCACTTAACAATTACATTGAATGTAAAATGGAACATTTGGCATTTTCAAGAGTCAAGATGGAAATTAAATAGAAATTTTGAGAGGGAGAGTTGAATAGGTGCATGTCAAAAATAAGAAACGAATTCAAGATGTGCCCTGATTCATTGTACGAAAAATACATCTAGACACCGATACAATGAGGGGAGGAAAAGAGTCAAAGTGTGATTGAAACTGAATGTTTTACGGGACTACCTAAACTCTCATTGTTCACGATAGCTGTCTCTCAACAATTGCAAGATAAACCCATTACCACAGAGCAAGTGTAGCGTATGAGGAAGCGGATGAGCAAACACACACACACACATACACATGTATCTATGGTTGATCTTAGCAACGACTCGGAAAATCGGTGCGGTTGTGTAAGCACTTCCTGCTTCTTTTCCATATACGTGGAATGCTCGTGCTTCACGTAGAGTGAATTGAGCTCACACCGTATTTACTGAGATTAGCTTAAATGTGCGTTATAATGGCTCTCACTTCCACTCTCCCTCTCCCTCACGCTGTCACACTCTTCCTTCTATATAGATACTATATTCACATGTATAAATGTAATTTTGTCTGATGTTCCGATTACAACTTACAATAAAACGAGAGAAACAAACATTTGTATACTACTATGCTCCTCATTGCTTTTCATAATAACAAATAATAATTCAAGATTTTCCTAGAAATGTAGGGAAATTTGGTAAAAAAAATTTCTTCTGGAAAATGTTCAGTTGTCAGCCATTCTCAAATCCTAAGTGAAATTTGTATAAATGCACTTGTCAAAGAAAATGAAAAGAACCATTGTGATATTTATTTAAAACATGGATAAAAAAAACACTTTTAAACACTATGTAGCATATTATATTACTATGTCTAGATGATAACCACATATATACATAACAATATGTCAACTGATTTGAGATGATGTCAAAATCCAGAATTATTATAAAATTTAACTAGTTTATTTTTGGGATAAGAGATTTAAGAGATAAGAAATAAAACAGACGAATTGATGTTATTACTAAATTATGCCATGCCGGCAGTTGGAAAACCATTTAAAATATAAAGCGTATGAATCACTGTTGAAATTTCACCTATATATTATATATATATATATATTTATATGAGAAAAACCAAATTAAACGAGAGAAAATTTTATTAGATGTTAATCCAATTCAAACTATATGAATAGCCAAGTGGTTTTTTTTGTAAATTCTGCTATGAGATTGGAGTGATAGAAAGAGATTCAGAAAAATCACTGCAATGCTGTTGTTGCGCAACAAAATGTCAAACAATTTTATTATTACCTACATATTAAGGAAGCATACATACATTGAAGTGTGGTGTGATGTACCAAGTTGAATCGGATTCAATGGATTCTATATGCAAACTTATGAGCTTTGCATATAAACTCTGATTTCCATACATTCAACGCTATTCTCTAGCTCTCTCTCTCTCTTTTCCTCCCACTCTTACTCATCCGCTTGCTTACAGCCTATATTTTCAATGTGTATGTATATGTTTGTATATTTATCAAATTAAGGACTCTTATACACATTTCGTCTCCCCGTGCCGCCATTTTCAACACTCACACTCACGCACACAATTTTTGGTTGGAATTACATGCAGGTATTAACATTTATTTTGAATTAGACACCCCATTTACGCCGAAAAAAATTACTTCTCATTTCCCGAGCCCGAACGGAACCAAAAAAATTACCACTAATTTTTCCCAATTTGTTTCGTCAGCACTTAGGCTCTATCCATTTTGTGAATAAAAAAAAATTCGTTGAGGCCAGCCTAACGGCCATACACAATATAGGATATATAATATTTATAAATATATATACAAGTATATATATATATTAAAATTAAAAGCTCGGCCCAACAACAACTTCAACAAAAACGCGTTATAAAATTATTGTGGATCAGAGGTTGCTAAAATTTGAATTATTAGGTTAACCAAAATGATGGCGTTTCAAGAGAATATATAGAATACACACTTTTTATAAAAATTGTCATGATTCAAATAATGAAATAAAGAAAAAGAAAAAACTGGACGGTTTCAATCAGTTGTGTTTTTTGTTATTTAAATCTTTCTCCTTTTCTTTTCCACATCTAGACGATGGAAGAGACAACCGATTTTTTTCGGTGCTTTTCTTTGTAAGCGACGAGTTTCCAGCAGGTTTTTTCGATGTCGAAAATCGCCAAGAAAAACTTTCGAAACATTTATCTTACTCCTTTTTTTTCTCGGCCTCAGCCAACGTTACGAACATCAAAGACGTTATCATGGCTCAACCCAATAACTTGTATGTGAAAAAAAAAAGTAAGTATCTAACCATGTATCTGTTTTCTTCCCTTTTTACTCTTTTTCTCGCCCTCTTCGCTTGTTGTAAACTTTGCAAAAGCTGTTCGGCCAAAGTAATCACATATCGATTGTTTGCGATAGCATCTTGACACTCGTAAGACGTGTCATGACATCAAACACTATTCAACAACAAATAAATATTTATTTATCTTCATCGAATCAATTGAGAAGTATAGACTTTTCTCTAAAAAAAAAAATTCCCAAATTCTGTTTCTTCTTTTCTCTTTCTCTCTCTCTCTCTCTCTGCTTTTTGTTCATGATCTATAGCGATCGATGGGAATTCCATTTCTGTTTTGTCGCACTGTTTATCATTGTCAAATTGTCAATTGAATGGTTTGGAGCGAAAATGTAATACAGAAAAGTTGAGCGGAAAAATGTCGATAATGAATGAGCGGAAAAGGGATAACTATATAGTAAACTATAGTGAACTATATAGCGATCCCTTTTCATTTGACATTTTTCCGCTCAACTTTTCTGCATTACATTTTCGCTCCAAACCATTCAATTGTCCGTACATTGTTAGCACATCATCGTGGCTTTTAGCCTCCGACAGTATCAATATATATATATATGTATACACTGTATTTTTCGGGATTACTATGAATATATCTATTTCATACTTTACCAAAATTCTCAGTCAACACTGATATGCGAAAGTGTTTAACAACTGTTTAACAAGGGAATTCATCCGGAATGTAAACATTTAAACTGAAAACGTGATGATTTTTTCTCGCAATAAAATCTTCTTCTTATTTCAATCTATACATCTCTCTCTCTCTCTCTCTCTCTCTCTTTGTGCCTCTCGTTTCATTCCTTTCATGCGATGCGCGTCCTATATCATTTGCCTGTAGTGATGGCTTCGAATGTTCGTTCGTTTGTTCGACAATTTGAAAAAATATTTTTTTGTTCGTTCGTTCGTTCGTCATTCATTTTGTTCGATGTTCGGTCCGAACAAAGTTTTTTTTATTTCAAAATCTCCCGAATAAAATTGGTATTACTATGAAAAATTATAATAAAAGCTAATCAAAGCATGAGCTGTAAGGATTACATTATAAATTTGATCAATACATCGAATTTTCTAATGTAAAAAAAATATTTCCGGACCGAATATCGAACAAAATGAATGTCGAACGAACGAACGAACAAAACCTTTTTTTAAAACCATGTCGAACGAACGAACGAGCGTTCGAAAGTGTTCGACGGCCAACACTATTTGCCTGCAAACATTTCATCCAATAAAAATGATATAAAACCCCGGACGAAATTCTCGCACACAAAAATAAGTGTTATGACCTCGAAATGAAGAGATATTGTAGTTATTATTTTGGAAAGAAAAACCATAAGTATCCATGATTTGGTGTGTGTATATATATATATATATATGTGTGTGTGCCTGTTTAGCGTGTGTAGGCCGTCATTCTTGCCTATCGTATCCATTTAACCATAATCATTGCCATTCTATTCCAATTGCTATATTCTTGGCTGTATGCATGTTGCTTCTATTCCATTCCACTTTTGGTGAGCTTCATCCATAGTATCACGCACAAATCACAAACACACATAAACACCGACGAATATGTAAAATATGTTGCTTTTTTTGTTATTAATATCGGGGTGCCATTGAGCCAAAGTACGAGTGATACATTAGCAATTGCCATTTGTTGTGATGGCACTTTGAAAACTTCCTTGAACACAACCACTATTTCATTTGTTTCGTATGCGTGTGACGCGCGCGCTTCGCTCCGATTCTGAAATTGTTCTTCCTTGCGAAAATCACTTACACACGCGTTTCCAACACTCAAATGATATGCAATAATATTTACAAGAATTATGTGAAGCGCTGAAGCGAAACACGAAATGCGTGGTAGTGGCGAACGCGTCCAACGAAATAAATACACACCAAACAAAGATCCAGTTTTGTTCTTTTTCTGGATGGGGTAGTAATTGATGAAACTGCTCAGTTCAGCATTGTCTTAACTTGTGGTCGTTCGCTTCTTACTTGTTTTTGCCAACTTCTACTTTGCTTTATTGCCACTCAAATCATTGCGCGTATAACGGAAAATCCTTATCCAAAATATCAATTTCCAGCGGTGAAACGGCGACAATACATAGCTAAACGAGCATTTTTACCCACTTCCAAGCATACATACACACAGGGAAAGACTGTGGCTGAAATAAATATCGGTGATAATTTGATCCTATCGCTATGTGCACGTTTCGTCGTTCATCTTTTGGAATATGATAATTTTACTGTATTTTCAGCATACTAAACATGCAAAATATGCCCATTGTGATTTGCTGTTTAACAGTGTTCAACAATATATACATTGCATGTCTGTGTCACCTCTTAGCTCCACAGTGTGCCATAGCAGCAGCAGCAGCAGCAGCAGCAGCAGCAGCAACAGTGCAGCAATCATGTGTTTTTGGCGCAAGAGAGTTTTTCTCTTTCTTTGTTCACAAAAGTGTGATAAATCAACGCGTGTAGATTTTGATTATGATAAAACTCAAGTAATTCATGTGTCTTTTTCTTTTGCGTTCGCCCCAACGATGACGGGTATTTTGTGCGTTTGATGTTTTTTTTTCTTCTTCCCTTCAACTTTTCGACTATTTTCATACAATTTCCGCACATTCGCCGAAGCGTGCAACATGTTTAAAACTATGCGGAAAATGATATGGCATTTTCATTGAAATTGAAGAATCTTTGATCGCTCGCTCATCTTAGCAAAGAACCTCAACGCAGGCAAGTCGCGTTTGATACCAAATCGTTGCTGTGTGCATGCGAAATAAATTATTTTTGCGAGAGATAAAAACGAGAAAATAGAAGTGTTAAGTGTTAAGAAGTGTATATATAGAGAGTAGTGAATGTAGAAATGGTTCTGGGCAGAGCGGTCAACGAGCGCTCGTTCGTTCGTTCGTATGCGAAAATGTTCGTTTGTTCGTTCGTTCGTTCGTAGAATTTACGAACATGTTCGTTCGTTCGTTCGTTCGTAGAATCTACGAACATGTTCGTTTGTTCGTTCGTTCGTTCGTAGAATCTACGAACATGTTCGTTTGTTCGTTCGTTCGTTCGTAGAATCTACGAACATGTTCGTTTGTTCGTTCGTTCGTTCGTAGAATTTAATTACCCTTAAGTACGTACTTAACATACTTGAGTTTAATTACGTGACTTGAGACGTACTTAAACTCCCTTAAGTACTTACTTAGCATACTTGTTAACATACATACTTAAGCCTCGTATTTAAGCTTAAGTATGTTAAGTACATACTTAAGTATATACTAAAGTATGTACTTAACATACTTAAGTATGTACTTAACATACTTAAGCTTAAATACGAGGCTTAAGTACGTATGTTAACAAGTATGCTAAGTAAGTACTTAAGAGAGTTTAAGTACGTCTCAAGTCACGTAATTAAACTCAAGTATGTTAAGTACGTACTTAAGGGTAATTAAATTCTACGAACGAACGAACGAACAAACGAACATGTTCGTAGATTCTACGAACGAACGAACGAACGAACGAACATGTTCGTAAATTCTACGAACGAACGAACGAACAAACGAACATGTTCGCATACGAACGAACGAACGAGCGCTCGTTGACCGCTCTGGTTCTGGGAAAAGAGCTTAATAATCGTTTTCGTGAATCGCCTCACTCTCTTGCTC